TATCTCTCTTCAATCTGCTATTATTTATGCAGTCACTCCTCCTCTCCGCTTTATTTGCCGGGCTTATATACAAAAATAGAGAGCGTCTGGCAAACACTAGAGTTGCCAGGAACAGTCATGATCCTTCTAGAAACTCATGACGTAACACTGCCTCTTCCTTAGTATTGTTCGTCCCGAACAAGAGCCACTTACATTAAACCAACAGATAATTAACAATAACTTGATTAAATGTACAGAATTTAGAAACACAAAATTAAAATTCAACAAAGTCTCTTAATTTTACGGGACGTATCTTCTTCCGTACTGGTCTCCTTTTTGTCGGCTTCTGCTTCACGCGCGGTTCATCTGCTCCATCAGGAAATGTCCTATTATCGGCAACAGTCACATCAATGGTAGTAATTTCATTAAGGGCTTCACTGTTTCCCTTCTCAAAACCGGGTAGAGTTTCTTCTTTGACAGCGGCTTTTTCAAGTGACACGTCTTCAGCAGCGTAATTTATTCATTCATTCCAATTGAAATGTCCTGGACCGTGACAACGCAAAGACTGTTGGCATGCACCACCTTTGGCTTACCTCGCCGACCACATTTGATTCGGAAAGTCACGTCTGAGAGATGATCCACTATGTCATATAGGCCTTCCCATAGAGAAGAAAACTCAGGAGACTTCCGCTTGGAGAGTGCGAAGGTACATGAAAAAAAGCATTTCGTTTGCCAACACATTTCAGAAGCTACCTTCAACATTTCGGGGAGCCCAAACTCGACCTAGGGGACAGTTTTTGTCCTAAATTGGCTGAAAATACTTGTGCCACAACGCGGAGAGTCCGTAGGTATATGCAAAAGGCATTTGTCTAAACACATTTTAAAAGCTACCTACGGCTACCTCCAACACTTTAGGGGCCAAAACACGACCCAGGGGGCAGTTGTCGACCTAAGTTTGCTGAAAATGGAGTTTCGTTTGTCTGAACACATTTCAAATGCTACTTCTGGCTACCTCCGACTTTAACAAATTGCTTCAAAATTTGTGTGTAAAAATAGCATATGAGTTCTACCTTTTATTTTCCAACAAGTCGATGCACAAGAAGCCTTTCGTTCAATACCAGTTACCAGAGCTCATCAGTTAGGCTGGATGATAAGCGACAAAAAATTCTATGAATCACTGTTTATATATACAGTATGATACTTTAAAAGTCACACTAATAATTGTTATGAAACTCAACTTAGCTGTAAACTTTTTTTCCGCATTCTTCTTATTTCAGTCATAAACATCATGTATGAAAATTTCATCTTCTGAAAATGTTTTACTCCCTCTCTTAGTCTGTCATAGATAGGTTGGCTGCTCTTACAAGTTACATAAAAAGGGCAGTTTTGAAACCAATATATTTTTAAAATATCAGCAGTTAACTTGATTTTTATAACAATTTAGTGGCATTACGACAGTGCCGACCTCTGTGAAATAATACAGTGTGAAAGAAAAAACAAAACAATAGTCACGGGCCGTTAAACTTGTACTTTTAGCTGGATGTAAGGTGAATGATCCAGTTAGGAGAAAACTAACATGCGAAGTAAAACGGACTCAAAACCCCATAGATAATGTGTTGATTGTTGTGTGAAAGACCGTGGAATTTACATAGACTGTAGGTTATTATTGTATTACTAATAAAATACTATTGTGTTGTTAATCGAGATTATACTTGTAAGTTGTAACTGTTTATGCAAACTTGCATAAGCCCGAAGCGTTGAAAAAATATCTTAAGCATAAAACTAAAAACTAAATCATACGGAAGTAATCATACTATTAGTATTCCTTTGTATTACTACTAAGTCGTACTAATAATACTTTTAAAATACAAATCTAGCAATTCTAGTGGTGTTTAGACTACTACTAGTATTATTAATGTTATACTAATAATTAATAATTATATGATATAGTGGATGGGCCAAAGTAACACGTAAACAAAGATATCATCTAAGGATATTTTTACAAGTTGCAGGTTTTACACTTACAGCAACGAAGAGTTACAGTAAAAGTGGAAACTTAAAAAATTCTTATCAGTAAGTAAATTCAGATGATTTGAATTATTTTTATATTTAGTCACGTAAGAATTGTTACAAAAAAAAAAAAAAAAAACTACAAGTGAAACTACCTAAAAAGAGGGATTGATTCAATGGTCATACAAATAGAGTTTAAACTTTAATCACAAAGAAAAGATTTATAGCGTTACTAATTTCAAGTTGTAGTTTTGTTTCTTTCATTGTGAGCTTGCTATGGCTTACCCTGAAATATGAGTGTAATTGTAGATATAGTGTAACTCAGTTTCAGTAGAATATTAAACTTCAAAATGGTTTACAATTAACAAAGATGAAATTTGAAAATTTATGTGTGATAGTTGTTTTTTTATATATTATCAAAGTAACTAAGCTAAGTCCTGTTATTTTGTGGCAATAGAACTTGATTTATTTACTACAGTTTTCTATACATTTGGTTATTTGTAAATTGCATATATATATTTATGTATATATTGAAAGTACTAATACTATAATAGTTAATGGAATCTGACCTCCTACTTTAAAAATATCTAGGGGAGAGAATTAAAGAGGGGAAACTAGACATATTGAGGCCCATTTTACATAACTACAGAAGTGTAGACTTGTAGTGATCAGATATTTTGGTTTAACTTTAAACATGTTTTTAATTTTTCCAGTTACTTTAACTGTAAGAAGATTGATAAGAATTGGGCAAAGGATATACGTTTACTCTGAAACTTGTGGGTTTTTTTGGTTCAGCAAGTATATAGTATGTAAGAACAAGTGGTAGAAGGATATTCAGTATGCAAAATGCTACTTTTTAACTCTCTCCAAATAATTAAGAAATTATTATCCCACGCTAAGTGTAGCCCTTCCTGTTCAGACACCTTATTAAAAGATTTAATCAATTAAAACTAACACTGGTAACAGCATGTACTATGTAATGGATAAACCATTCTACAAATTTATGATGAACAGAGATGTAGGTTTACCCGGTAAGTTTAAATTTGAGCTTCAAAAACTATACTTATTATCTTCCAATATTTTAGTTCATAATTACCTCTACCTTATCATTTTGCCACTGAAACAGGCTGACCATAGACAGTTTTTTACAGGTTTCTAAGATGTTTGAAAAATTTAATCTCAATATATTTGATTTTTCTAGGCTTCAATTAAAAAGAAGTCTTAAGCCTCCTTTTATAACCATAATTTCAAAAACCCAGCAGCATTATTTGAGCAGCCCTCTTCTGCACCATTTTAAGCAACTTGACACTTTTTCTATAATAGAGAAACAAAATTTACTATTTAAAAATAAGGCATTGCAAATAGTTGGAAATGGTTCAAAAGAGTACTATTAGGATGATACCATGGGAAGAAAGGCTGTCATTTGAGGACATGCTAAGATTTCTGAAATTATTTTAGATGAGAGCTGATTAACTATGTGTATGGATGGGGATCAAAGTGTGCAAGTCATGACTTTTTACAGGTTGCCATTCAACATTGTATTATATATTTGATGTCAAAGTTATCAGCTATTCATTTTACCCTACACTGCTGATTTAGCAACAGTTCATGGTAGATGAGAGTAAATATGAGTTACAATGTACAGGGATACTGAAAAAAAACTGTAGATATGCATATTAGTGGTTATGCAAATACAGTATACACACTATACAACGGACAGAAGTAGTTTTATTCTCCACATGAGCATCATATTGCATTCCAGTTTCTCAAATTCTGAGTTGGACTGGCATCAATTCACAGACATATCTTGAGTACAAATACCTTTGTTACTCACCTGATTTTTTTGTTTACAGCAGACTCATACATTTTACAAAAAGCTTTCCACATATCATGCAGATACTCATAGTAGATTGAGAATTATAGTCCATATTCCTTTTCCAATATGGGGTCAGTCCAATGCACCAAGTTTATGCACATTTAGTTTAGGTGTTAAAGATTATTAAGGTAATTGGTAGAAAGGGTGCTTATTTTTTTGATATTTAATGGTAGGACAAGTAAGCAAAAATATAAATTTTGGCAGGTGAAAGTCATCTTCAGCTTTGGCAGTTGTACTTTTCTAACAGGGTCGTTGACTTATGTAATGAGGTGCCTTTAAATACAGTAGCTGTAATTTTAAATTAAAAATTGTTGTAATATATATATATATATATATATATATTCCACAACTTTGTTAACTTTTTTTTTTCACTGTACCTAAACATTTAGTTGAAGCCATGAGGGTTCAGGCTTTACCAATATTAACATCTAAATCCTCTTTTTGTGTTATTGGTGTGGGAAAAGTTGAAATTTGTGAATCAACATAAAATATAAGTTGGTTATGGAAGTCCAAATAGGGACTTGTTTTAGCAAAATTATTTTTGTTAATATTGCAAACTTCTAGAATTGTTCAACTAATGATCTGTTTGTTCTGTTCATTTTGATTATTTTTCAAACTTTTTTTGATGGATGTTGAATAATAATGCAAGTTATGCATTTGAATTATCATAATTTGGATTATATGTTCAATATAGCTGGGAACCTACTATTAGTGTGACAGAAGGAAGGATCTTGGCCAAAAATTTAAGAAGTTTAAATTGACAGGGACACTGAAAGATTTACAGAAGTGTAATAAATTTAGAGATTTGTTAACAAACAAATTGACCTTGAGAAACAACAGGCTGATAATCTTAAAACTAACAGCAAATAACTTTTTTCTTAAGTATGTTAAAGTTAAGCTAAATTTTAGCCCTTAAAGGATGCAGATGGCAAGTTTTTGTTGGACAATGAGAGGATTCATTTTT